TTGTGTTTCACAATCAGATGTCATTTTTATATTTTTTACTTTTATAAATATCGGAAAGTGATCGCTAATATCTGTTATAAATATCCCGGATTTAAATGTCATGTCCATATTATTGTTAACAAGAATATTATCTATTGCTGTTGCTGAGATTTTTGTAACTCGCGTTGGTTTATTAATAGTCGACAAGACATTGAGTTTGAAAAGCATATCAAAAAAAGATTTTATTTTAGGAAATTTTAGATAAGTTAGAGCATCAAGGTTTGTGTCACCAATAACGTATAGAATTATATTTTCTTTCTTTATTTATACAATTGTATTTTTGATAAAAGTTTCAAATGGCTTGATTTTACTACTTGGTGAACGATTAATACATCCGATTAATATATTTCGATATTTTTTAATAATAATTTCAATGAAAAGAGTTTCATATTTGTCATTTGACAAGCGATGTAGGTTTTTCAACTTAAAATCATGCTTTTTTAAAACATACACTCCTAATCCTCCACCTTTTTTTCCGCTTCCTCGCGGATAACTAATTAGTTTACTGAGGAACCGGCGGCTTATTTACAATACCTAGAACCCACAAGGTTCTTCAAATCGTTTTACGGAAAACCTTAAAGAACCTTAATTTAGGGTTCTTCAAATCTTTTGTAAATGCCATTTTTTTTTTCTAATCGGTCGTTATATAGGTAGACTAGTATGAGTTTTTAAAGAATGGCATAATAACAATAAAAAATGATTATCATGACAGTATTTAATTTGTGCTTTAAACATTTGAGTTGTTTTTATAACCGTTCTTAACTTCAACAGCGATTATAAAGCAACGTTTTTTTTTTGATTTTCGAGCAGTTTTCTTATTCCTGTATGCTTTTATCATGCATATTATACATATATATATATATATATATATATATATATATATATATATATATATATATATATATATATATATATATATATATATATATATATATATATATATATATATATATATATATATATATATATAATCACCATGGAAAAGTATATCCATAAAACTGTTTACGGTACTATTGCATACTAACTATTTTTTAAATGAATGTGTGCTGGTAAAAGATGACTAATCACACTAAAAAGATGATTAATCACGCTGCGTGTGATAAATAATTGAATAAATAGATCATTTTCATCTATTTTGCAGTATCATACAAAATTTAGGAACTTTTTCCTTTTTAATATATGTTTTCAGAAAACTTTCGCGATCTTCCTACGCGCGTAGTTCAAAATGCTAACGCAGCAACCATTCGCAAATGCAGAGCCAATTCATTATCGGTTTGATATCGCTCCTGTAAACCAGCCGCTCGGATATGTTTCAAAATATTAGATGATAGGTGGAAAAAGCAGCCTTTTATTTCAATGTCTTCAAAAACAGGGTAAGTGGAATTCATTACGGTAATTTCAAAGTCAAAAAGTATTGTTTGTGGATTATTTCCCATCGCTCGTACTAGATTTGAAACTTCTTGAAACATTCGTGTGTAACTTTGTTGTGTTTTTTTGGGCAACAAAGCGTAAATGCAGGGTACGATACGTTAGTCAATTCTTGCATGAATTGTGTACAATTGAAAAGATTTTGGGGCACACTTTAAAAGTCATTAAACCAGTCATCAGATGTGGCCATCAGTTCGATAGCTTGGTTTGTTGAAAATAATTATACGCGGTTAGCGTCTCCAACACCACTATCAAATTTAAGAAAATGTTCACCGTTTAATGTTTGCTGGTAATGTTCTGGTAAAATAGGAATTGTTGCTCGATCGATTGGGGTCATAGGCCAGTTTTCGTTACCCATTCTTTGTGAACGGATTGTTCTTCGCAAATGTTTAACAGGAGGCAATTATATAGCAGCGGTTTCAGATGCATTTCCCAACGTTTGGCTATATATAATAAAAGATGCCTAGTTAACACTCTCAGGCAATTTTATGACTCTAACATACCTCGATAGCGTTTCCTTGCTACAAGCTAAATTTAGAGATTTTCTATTTTGTAATTTTAGAATTTGTTAATAATATTTCATTTAATCAACAACCAATGTAATAATATATACAATGTGACAAAAAATAAGAACGTTTTTTTTCAGTTATATAATAATTAATAATTATTGATATCATATTTAAATTAATTTAAATAAAATAAATTATAGATTATAAACATAAATTATAAATAGAAATATATTTTTAAAATACAACTAACTTAATATAAAATTTACATTAATTTTTAAATAATTTCCTTAGTCGTCTCATCGCGTTACATAAAATTGCACATTTTTATTAAATTACAACTAATTTCTTCATAATTACAGTCATTCTGACCTACGTGCTAACACAATTCACTCTAGGTTATACATCTTGTATTTTCTTACCAGATTTAACTCACTTTGCACACTTCCTAATTTGAAATTAATCACCACAAAATTAAGTACCTCGTTTGTCTTCTGTCACCACAACCCTTTGCACCTGCGTGTGAAATCCACTGCGTCTGTCCCTGTTTTATTCAGTCGATGCAGCAACATTCCGCTGCGCCTATCCCTAACTGAATCAGTCGATGTATGGTACACTCCGCTGCCTGTATCCCTACTTGAGTCAGTCGATGTATGGACACTCCACTGCGCTTGTCCTTATATATATTTTTCTTAGTCGATGAATACACAACTCAACTGCGCCTGTCTCTATTTTTAGTCAGGCGAAGCGCGAATACTCCACAGCGCCTGTACCTATTTTTCATTTTTATAATAAGGCAAATAATGGTTTTACACATCCATTTGGTACTCTCTAAAGGGCAAGACATACACAAACACACACGTATATACTCATTAAAGTAACGTCATAATGGTTACACAGCCTCTCTTCTATTGCTTTTTTTAAGATTTAGCACATTGTGATTAACTATACGCGCTCTTTTGTTTTATGGTTTTACTTGAATGCTCATGAAATCGACGTAAACAAATTTTAAAATTATAAATAATGTAAACTATTTTGCTTGAATTTTGTACTTTTATACTGGACATCTGACCAATATCTTTTAATTTTATTTCTAATGCTTACTCTAATGTAATCTTTTCTCCTTCATCTCTGAGGTTCCTACGGCCTATTATGTTCCATAAAGTAACTGGTTTTTGAGTTCGCTTGCGAATTATTAATTTTAGAATTTGTAAAAATTATTTAATTTAATCAACGACCAATGTAATAATATATACAATGTAACAAAAAATAAGAAAGTTCTTTCCAGTGACTTAAAAAGGAAAAAAATTTATGTAATTTTGAGAATCGTTAACGGTTTCTCAAAGTGTCAACACATTCGCTACCTTCGAGGAATAGCGCATAGCTTGACATTTTGATGAAAAATAAAGTATTTTATATAAATATTTAAAATAAAAAAAGAAATAGACGTAACTGCATATTGAAAATTTTTAATTAAAAGACAATTTTTTTTTGGGAGGGGAGGGGGATATTTTCCGGGAGGATTTTTTTTTTCAGGGGGACTTTATCCGGGGGATTTTCTCGGGGGGATTTTTTCTCGGGAAATTATTCCGGGGGGATTTTTTCGAGGGGGATTTTTTCCTAGAACCCTACCAATTTGAGTGAAGTAAAAAAAAATCCAGGGGTTTTTTTTCTCAGGGGGGATTTTTTCAGGGGGGATTATTTCTTGGGGATTTTTTCCGGGGGATTTTTTCCCGGGGGATTTTTGCCTGCTACCCTGAACTGCAATTACTTTTAATTTTTTTGGTTTTGTGGCTTTTGTGAAGAGCTTTTAAATTTTTCGTCAAATTATCTTATTTCAACATATTCGCTCTATCATCCTTACTGCAGCCGTTTTTCAAAACGCATTAAGGTAAAAAATATCTTTTTCGACTTTTTTACGAAATAAACTACTTTATATGTTTACAAATGTTATTGAATACATATTTTCAAAAAATTCTGAAAAAATTCTGAAAAATTATTTGTTTTAAAAAATGTTTTACAAAGAGTTTATGCATTGTTTGCGCTCAAACATCTGTATTTAACAATTGTTTTTAATAGCGTTTTTCTCGAAATACGTAATAAGGGGTCGTCCATAAAGACGTCATTCAGAATTTAATTACTAAGTTTATTGGTTCTCTTCCGCGGAGATTTTCATTGAACTAATGCGCTATATTACTCTTAAAATCTCTGCGCACAAGTGCCAACATTCTCCTACTTTTTGTCATTAGTTAAACTTAAAGGGACTTCCTTTATGGATGATCCCTTAAGGTTGGTTTCCATATAGTCGCACGACAGTCGTGCGACAACTGTCGCGCAACAACATTTTCAATATTTGTCGCACGACCAGGTGTTTCCATTAATTTTAGAAGCGTTTTCAAAACAAATATTTTTTTATCACTTCCGTGATGCCAAGAAAATATTGTTCCCATCCTTTCTTTTATTTATTTATTATAATACTATGAACCATTTATGATATATTTGCTTTTAGCTAAAGATTTTTCTAATTATCTAAACTACAAAAAACACGCCTAAAAAATTCAATAATTTTAGCATTTATCAAAATTTATTTTAAAATACCACGTTAAAAATATCTGTATAAAAATTATTTTCAACTAATTGTTGTTAAGAAATAGTTTCCCAACACTTGAAAAAAAAAAAAAGTATTAAGAGTTTTATCATCCGCTTTAATACTATTGGAGTATTTTTCACTTACTTTTATCTTTGTTTAGTAAATAAAGTAAATATTAAAAAAAAAAAAAAATTAATAATAAAAATTAATTAATTTTAGACCAATGGCAAGGAATAAAAAATACGATTTCCTGAACTGCCAGCTTGCACTTTGCAATACTTTACTAGCTCTTAGAACATTACAGAGTAAAAAAAAAAAGAAAACATAAATTTTGGATTCGCTCCTTGTTTAAAAACCGTTATGAAAAAGGAGCATTTAACACACTTATTCCTGAGCTAGGACTTCAAGACAGAGAATTTTTTTATCGTTTTTACAGAATGTCACCTGAAAGGTATGAACACTTGTTGTCCATGGTTGCCCCTAGCATTACAAAAAAGCCATGTCGAAGTCGTCAAACAATATCACCCTCAGAGCGATTGACTGTGACACTGAGATACCTGGCTACTGGAGATTCACAACTAACACAAGCTTTTTATTTTAGACTGGGCAGAACAACAGTATGCAACATTATAAATGAAACAACAAAGGCTATTTGGGATGTGTTAAAACCATGTTATTTAAAGGCACCAAGTACATTAAATGAGTGGGAAGAATTGGCAAACCAATTTGAAAATGAATGGAATTTTCCTAATTGAATTGGAGCCATTGATGGTAAACATGTATGTATAGAAGCTCCTAGCATAAGTGGATCAGCATATTACAACTATAAAAACTTTCACAGTATGGTTTTGCTAGCCATATGTGATGCAAAATATTGTTTTACTTTGGTTGATATAGGTAGCTATGGCAGAGATAACGATGCTTCAATATTCAATGAAAGCAAAACGGGTAAAGCTTTCAAAAACAACTTATTCAAACTTCCTAAAAACCGAATGCTATCAAATGGCACACAAGTACCACCAGTTCTGGTTGGTGATGATATTTTTGCACTGAAATCATGGTTAATGAAGCCTTTTTCTAGTAAAAATTTGACAATCAAAGAACGTATTTTTAACTATCGATTATCTAGGACTAGACGAACAATTGAAAACACATTTGGAATTATGGTAGCTAAATGGAGAGTATTTAGACGTCCAATAAAAGCTAACCCAGAAAATATTGAAAACATTATAAAAGCTGCAATTTGTTTACATGATTATTTAAGGATCAATGATGGCATTAACTATGTACCATCTGGATTTGTTGATTTTGAAACAAATTCTGGTAAAGTTATTCTTGGAGAATGGCGCAAAATAACAGTTGAAGGTGATGCTTTACATATTTTACCTCGATGTATAAGCAGTCGATACACAACAGATGCGAACACTGTAAGATTAACGCTAACAGAGTATTTTATTCATCCAAGTGGATCCTTGTTGTGGCAACATGACTATGTAACTAGCTGTGGACACGATCTTGCAGGAAATAGAATATTTTTGGAACAATGAAAAAAATAATCTTATAACTGTTTTATTATATAATATTGAAGAATGGTTTAAACTATGTTTAATAGAATATTAAATTTCTTAAATATATGTTAAAAAACAAACAAACAAATTTTATATCAGTCAACAATATCTGGAAATTCTAGAGCAGCTAAATATTGCTGTATGTTTATTTTAGCAACTGCTTGAGTTTTAGGAGGTAGTCTTTTGATTGTAGCACAAATAGATTTACAAAAATGTATTATATCGTCGTTTTCTTCATGTGTACTAACTGCTAGTGTTGCATTAATATTGTTCATCGTACTAATTATTGAATCTTGTATTTTTGAATTTTCATCAGGTAGAGATCTTTTCAATGTTTTTTTTCTTATATTTATAGGAGATTTTATTTCACTTAATGCTTTCCGTTAATTACTGAATGTATTTGAGTTACTTGTATTTTCGCTTAAATTTTTATTTTCTAATTCTACTTTATTACTAACATCTTTGTCATAGTTCATACTATCATTACTATCTATACAAGACAAAGGCGATTCTGTTGTTAATTCTGTGGTTGTTGCTTTATTTTCAATATTATTTGTTGTATGGTCAATGTAAACATTTAAACACTGCAAAAAATCGTACTCTTTACTGATAATCGTAGAGATAGAATTATTTCTATCTCTGCGACACCTATGGCACGACCGAAAGACAGTCTTGCTAGACAAAATTTGTCGCACGACAAATGTTTTCATATGGTCGCGCGACTGTCCTGCGAGAGTCGTGCGACTGTCGCACGACCATTTTAGATATATGGAAACCAACCTTTGGCATATTAAAGCGTTTTGAAAAACAGCTGCAGCATATATTTATTGTAAAAAAATAAATGTAGCAAAAAAAACTATTTATAGTCATAAGAAATTTTTAAATTTTTTTCTAACTACTGGCTTTTTGTTTTTTTATTATTCAGCACTTTCTGGAGTAGCAGAACTGTTTTAAAAAGTTTTTTTTTTCATTAAGTTTTAGGCAACTTTTTTTTCAGACCATCCGCAGCATATTAGGATTAATTACCTGAGCACGTTGTTAACATAAGTATCTCAATCATGACACTTACGCAACAGTTTATTTGTCTCGGTGTTTTGATGTTTTTAAAAATATTATCTTTTTAAAAATCCTATCGTTCGTTTAAGTGTATAATATTGTTACATATGCTTTTATAAACACTCTATAAAACTTCAAAAGTATTTTGTATTTTAAAATAGTCGAGAAAAATTTAAAAAAAAAAGTTTTCAGTGGTAGGACTCGAACCAAGGCTTACTCTATCCACTGGGCCACGCTAGCACGTTGCTAAATGAAAATTTATAAAACTATGTAATAACGTTTTTAACGGAAAGATATGCTGTACATCAAAGTTAAGGAGAGCTTGACTCAATGCAATTTTCAAGTGAAATCAAACTAAAAAACTTGATAAATATTTTATTATGTTTTAACATTACAATCGAAGTTTATGTACGTTAGACATTTGCAGACACGCTCGTTTACGTTTTCTATAAAACAAAGTGCTGCAACATTTACTTGCCACTACCTCAATTGCAATAGCTGCCAAGGGTTCCGTGTCAAATACGCTCGAATGAGCACTAACACTACTACTAAAAGGATTAGGTTCAGCAATAATATATAGATTTGACTAATATTAAGCCCTTCTAATCAGTCCTATTAACTGTTTATTTAAGCAACTGGAATTTTTAACTTCTACATGTACAGCATAGTTAAAAAGGGTATTTATTAACTATGCTAATTTAAAAGATTTTCTACAAACAATGCTGAATCATCTTTTTCAATTCTAAGTATAACAAAAAAAATAACTTTCAATTATTAGCTGAGAAGCAATCAAACATAAATGTTGTAAAACTATAACAAACAGAGTGCAAAACAACATATTCACTTGGTCTGTTTAACACAGCGTAAACTACTACTACTATTACTACTAATATGTACTTAAATAATACGTTCATATAATTTTTTCAATATGTTATTTAGTTATAAGTTGTAAATATAGGTTTATGAAAGCAGGAGATTCTGCTTGATTTTTTGCACAATCAATTACCAAAAATACCATAGGCATTAACAGAAATACCATAGATACACATAGATTCTAAGTTTCAATTCTCTTTTAGATAAACATGCACCATTAAAAAAAGTCAACAATCGCTGCTTATCAAGGGGTCTCAAACCTTGGATATCACATGGAATCTTGACTTCAATTAAAATACGAAATAAAATATTTAACAAACTTATTAAAGCAAAGAATTCTAATAACAAAGTCTATCTAGAAAAATCTTATAAAACATGTAGAAACTTGTTACTTTTACCCGTCGTAGTAAAGAGAAACATTACTCTAAGTTCTTTTCTGAAAATGCCAGAAACTTGAAATCTACATGAGATGGTATAAGGAATCTTTTAAACATTAGTTCGAGAGTTAACTCTACTTATCTTCTAATAACTCCATGATACACAACCCCATTAAAATTTTTAAAGCAAAGAATTCTAATAACAAACTCTATCTAGAAAAATCTTATAAAACATGTAGAAACTTGTTACTTTTACCCGTCGTAGTAAAGAGAAACATTACTCTAAGTTCTTTTCTGAAAATGCCAGAAATTTGAAATCTACATGGGATGGTATAAGGAATCTTTTAAACATTAGTTCGAGAGTTAACTCTACTTATCTTCTAATAACTCCATGATACACAACCCCATTAAAATTTTGGAATCTTTTAATTCAATCTTTGTTTCAGTTCCAGAAGAATTACAGAAAAAGATTCACTCATCGAATACTGGCTTTAATAAATATCTTAAAAATCCTATCCTTAAATCAATACTCATAAAACTTACAGACAAAAGCGAAGTATTATCTATTATTTATTCTCTTAATTACAGCAAGGCTTTGAGACCTAACAGCATTCCAATAACTATTTTTAAAAATCTTGCAAATGGTATCTCTCATGTAGTTTCTGAACTATTTATTCTGTCATTCATGACCGGTGTATTCCCTAAAATTTTAAAAACTGCTTCTATTATTCCAATTCATAAAAAAACTCAAAACTTGAATGTAATAACTACAGTCCATTTTCATAATTATCAAATGTCAGCAAACTTTTAGAAAAACTTATGTACTCTCGTATTTACAACTTTTTGAATAATTCTGCTTGTTTTCATAATCGACAGTTTGGATTTCGCTAAAAAATCACTCCACTTCTCATGCTCTAGTTTGCATTACTGAAATGATTCGTGGTGCAATTGAGAGTGGTTTCTTTGCTTGTGGTGTATTCATAGATCTTCAAAAAGCTTTAGATTCAGTTGATCACAACATTCTTATAAAAAATTATAAATTAATGATTTATCATGTTCATTAAAATGTTTTATGGTACATCATTATGCTGATGATACCAATCTTTTATATATCAACAAATCACTTAGGACTCTTTGTAAAAAAGTTAATCAAGATCTTCATCTCTTATGTAACTGGTTAAATAGTAATCGTGTTTCCTTGAATGTCAATAAAGCTGAATACATTATTTTTCTTTCCCCTTAAAAAAACTATTGATAATATTAAAATTAACGGAAAAAAACTTTTCCCATCAAAATATATAAAGTATCTTGGAGTATATCTTAATGAAAACCTATCTTGGTATAATCAACTGAATTACCTTAAAAAAAAAAACTTACACGAGCTAACAGTATTCTTTCTTAAATTCGTTACTATGTTCCTATCCAAACTCTTCGAATGATTTATTCATCTTCATTCTCTTTTCATCTCTGCTATTGTTGTGATGTTTGGGGTCAAAAAAAAAATTTTTCAATTATATAGCATTGCTGGTTTACAACGCGCAAATATTAGAACAATGTCGTTTTTGCCAATGAGATCTGATACCCGAAAAAAAATTGGTGAACTAAAAATCCTAAAACTCCATGATCTTGTAAAGTATTTTGGAGAAAGTCAAACACAAAAAGACAATAGTAAAATTGTCTTTTGTGTTTGACTTTCTCTAAAATAACATACCAAGTTCTTTTTTAAACTTTTTTATTAAAACAAATGAAATTTATAATCATCACACCGGGAATACAGAAAATAGTGAGCTATATTCCTCTTTTTTCGACAGTTAAATATAGTACGTATTCCATAAAACAACAGTTTATTCCCGATTGGAAACAGTAAATTCCTGCATTATTAAAATAGTCTAAAAAAACTATCTCCTTGTTACGGATTACTTACTGCTCAACAGAATTCAATTAAAAATATATTGTTTAAGTGTATTTCTTTATAATTTCTTTCTGTACTGTAGTTGTTTTTAACAAGTAATTTCTTTAAAGAACGAGTTATTTGATTTTCGCTTTTTTTTATTATTTATCTATATTATATTTATTTATTATCGTGTTATTGTTTCAACATTTTATGTTATTATTATACTTAATTATTATCTATGATATGTACATACAATTTATATTGTATTATAGTTATTTTTAATATTATTTATCTTTATAATTATTGTTATTATTTTGTATGATTACTATAATTATTATAAAACACCTGTTCTATAAAATTTGAGAGTATCTTGAATTAGCAAAATTTAATTAGTAAGCTCAATAAATTAATTAGTATTTGGTATCAAATGAAAGCTAAACTTTTCCTCTTTCAATTGCATATCAAATCTCTGAATATTTTTTGTTTAGATAACAATTTAAAATGCCAAATCAACAAGCCCTAAAAAGCCGTGTGTATAATTTTTATAAAAAAAAAACATGAAGATGGAAAAGACGTTGTTTGGAACCATTTAAGATGGAGCGCTACTCAAAAGCTAAAATTTATAGATATATGAACAGTTACGATCAAAATAAACGATTGGGTTGCAAAGCTGGAAGTGGAAGAAGGCCTACTCTTAATACACAAAACAACCGCACCAAATTAAGGAAAATGGTTAACAATCGAATAGGTGTGTCACTTTCAAAGGTTTCTAGAAGACTAGGTTGTAGCAAAAGTACCTTTGGACGAATCTTAAAATGCTTTAAAAAAGCCTAATCTTTGTTATAAAAGAAAAAAAAGACCAAGCAGAACTCCTGAACAGAGGCTATGGGGTTGCTGAAAATGTGGTCGACTTTATTTAAAATATTGCAACCATGAATTTATTATTGACAATGAGTCATACTTTACATTGTCAATGATACATACTATAATAATACATACTATTTAAATGATCAAAAAATGACACCAGACATTGTTAAGTATTTTGATGTTGCGAAATTCAAAAACAAACTACTTGTATGGATGATCTCCCCACGAAGGGTCACATCCATTTACATTGTTCCTTCTGGCTAAGCGGTAAACCAAGAGATCTATTTAAAAGAGTGTTTACAAAAGCGCATGCAACCTTTTATTAAAAAATATTACGAGACACCAAGAACATTTTTTGGTCCGATTTAGCAAAATCTCACTATGCTAATTTAGTAACAAAATGGTTAAAAACCCAGAAGATACCATTTGATCAAAAAAAAGACAATCCAGCAAACTTACAAGAAGATTGTGCTACAGAGGATTTTGAGGCAATGCTTAAGCGGGATGTGTACAAGAATGGATGGTTTACAAATAATATATCAAACATTGAGCGTCGGATTTGTTATTGTGCCAGTAGACTTGACCTAAATGCTGTACAAAAGCTGGTACAAGGTACCAATACCAAACTGGACCAAATTCAAAGATATGGAGTTTTGTGATAAATTTATTTTTATTTTCCTATTCTGCATATTTAATTGTAAGAACATACCAAAACAAAAAATTTTTTTTGTGTTTATATAAGGTTTTATTCATGTTTAAAGCCAGTCTCAAATTATATGGTACACGTGTTATATATGTATATATATATATATATATATGTATACATATATAAATATATATATATATATATATATATATATATATATATATATATATATATATATATTATATATATATATATATATATATATATATATATATATATATATATATATATATATATATATATATATATATATATATATATATATATATATATATATATATATATATATATATATATATATATATATATATATATAGATATATATATATATATATATATATATATATATATATATATATATATATATATATATATATATAGAGAGAGAGAGAGAGAGAGAGAGAGAGAGAGAGAGGGAAAAGCGGGGCGACATGGCGAATGGGGAAAGATGGGTTTTCATATAACAACTCAACAAAAAATCTTAAAATTGGTTGAAAACGAAACTGTATTTGCATCTTGTATTTTAAAACACCAATTGGTTTTTTGAAATATTATCAACACAATTTTATACGCATAAGTTTAGTTTTTGCGCTTTTATAAAATTGGATATAAAAATTGCATAATAAGTCATCTTGCCCCGGTCACGTGATCAGATAACAAATTTTTGAACTTTTTATTTTAATATTTGTTTCAAATTGTTATATTTACAAACTGAAAATTCATGCAGGCAATGAAGGATTTTGATAACATAAACATACTGAGAAAGCATTATTGCTTCACGGCTGATAGTTTTGCAATAACTCAGGGCTTTCAAAACGTTCGCCATGTTGCCCCGCTTTGCCCTATATATATATATATATATATATATATATATATATATATATATATATATATATATATATATATATATAATATATATACAGGGGCGGATCCAGAGGGGTTCAAAGGGTGCTCCAGCACCCGTCAACTTTTAACAAGTAAAGTTTCCTATTTCGTTGCACTTTTTTTTATAAATAAAAATTGAATTGTTAAAATAGTTTATTCAACTCAAAATTTGCGATTTCATTTTTTGTGAAGGAAGTCAAAAATAAATAAATAATTATCTTTGTTGTTGTGTAATACTTTGCGTTCAGCGCTTGCGTATTTTGTGTATACTTATGCTTCGACTAGGAAACTCCAGTATAGTCGCTTTTTGATTGGCCTGCTCCCTTCAGAATTATTTTTGATTGGCCTGCACCCCTCAGAAGCTATTTTTGATTGGCTTGGTTTCTTAAGCTAATCAAAACAGGTTCTGAGGGGTGCTGACCCAATCAGAAAGATCTCTGAAGGGTGCAAGCCAATCACGCAAAAATCAGAAAAAAGGTTTTTCACTAAGCTTTTTGTTAAATCGTAGGTTAAGTGTTCTAAACATGGCCGATTCAATGCTTCGAATCATTTTAAAATGTATTTTAGATGAAAATAGGGTTCAATCAGAAAAGGAATCGTTTTTATCTAATGTTATTTTCGAAGCTCGTAATAAGATTAGAGAAATATTTTTGTTTAATGAAAAATCCAAAGTAAGTATATTGAATAAAATATGCAAAGTTTCAAGTATGCAGTTTCCCGTATCTCAATCACTTCGAGCAGAAAGTGATTTTCAACCAGTGAGGTAATAAGTTGTTTCTTAAATAATTATATTAAATTAAAAAAACAAAAAATAAACGAAGTGTTTATGTATGTGTGTGTTGTGTTGATTAATGATTAAAATATTAGCAAATTAAGAAATCATATATAACCGGCTTTAAATGATTTCTTAATTTGCTATTATTTTAACCATTAATTAACACAACACACACACATATTTTGTATAGCTTACACACACACGCATTTTGTTTAGCCTATACTATAGGATATACAAAAAGCTATACTATAGCTTTTTGTGCCTAATATTTTACTACAAACTTTTTTATTTAAGCTGAAAGATGTGTAAAATTTTGTTCTAGGTGCTTAAATTTAAACAACTTTTTTTAAGTAAAATTGTGTTCATCCTTAAGTATATATACTTAAGCATGAACACAATTTTACTAAAAAAAAAAGTATACAAAAAAGTATATAATATCATATTTCATATAATATCATATTTCAAGGAGAAAATAATCAATTATGTTATAATTTTTTTTATGTTTGAATAATACCAAATTTACATTTAGTAAATCATTTACTAGTAAGTAATTTTATGATATAAAATTATGTAATAATTATTTTGTGACATAACATAAATTATGTTGCTTCGCTTATATTAATTTTTTTTTTATTATTAGAACTTCTCCAAACGGAAACTGTTTATTTAATGATTGTTCTATATCATTGATTGGCAACGAATTTTTGTCAGAATACCTTAGATGCCTGACCAGTATCGAATTATATACAAGTGTAGGTTTTTATTTAAACCATCCAATTATTTTTTCTCAAACTGATGTTACCAAATCTCGAAGAATTGATGAAAACACAGCTTTTTCTATTATTATTTCCCAAAAAGCATATAATTCTTTTTGTAAAAATAATAAAACACTCAGTGTCATATCAGAATCTATCGATATTGCAACAAATTTTTCTTATTTCTCGTTTCTTACTTTGTGTGCTCTCTCAAGTGTTGTTGGAATACCAATTGAATCATAATATCCTATAGAAAAGGATAGAAAAGAAATAGAAAAAACTGTTTATGAAATATTGTTCAATTGCACTGTTAGACCACGTGTTGAACATTCTTTAAGCACATCTGTAAAAAAAATAAACATTCTTCGTTGCTCTTCAGTTATTGCAGGTTTTAAACAGACCTCTAATATATTTATAAACAAAGATCACTTTGTTCCTTTAATATCTTTAAAATGTATTCCTAAAAAATACCAAGCTTCTAATATATTTGCACCTAAAGTAGTAAAATTACCTGAAATTAATCAACTTACTTCTTCAAAATCTAGTATCCTGTTTCCTGATTCTACTCAGGAAACATATATTTTAGATTCAGTTAAAATTCTTTCAACTTTTAAAAAAAGAAAACAACTCACAATTGATCAATTTGCTATTAAGTCACCTTTTCCTACAGACAAAAAAATTTGTGTTGTATCTTCGCCAATCAAATTAAAAAGTTCTACCACATTATCGATTGCAGAATGTTCTTCAAAATATATACACTCACCGATTAAGGCAAATTTAAACTCTAAAAGTAGTTCTTCTGCTTTTGGAAATAAATGTGAACTATCTTTTGTAAACAAATACGATATCGGGCTCTATGAAACTTATGGAATTAATAAACTAGGCAATGAAGATAAGTATGATTTACTAAAAAATGTTAATAAACCATGCTCTAGTTTTCATTTTGAATCCAATAAATCAGGTCGTTCCTTTCAATTCTCTTGGCTCTCATTATACTCTTGGCTTGCATATTCAGAAATTAAAAAAGGTGCTTATTGTGTTAATTGTGTTATTTTTGGATCTGAAGAATCAAGTCATAATGCAAGTAAACTTGTTCAGCTTTATAAATCTCCATTTGTGGCATATTCAAAGGCCATTAATAAGTTTAATAAACATGCTGAAAGTTCACCAATTCACCAAACTGCAACTCTAAAGGCAACTCACTTTCGCCAATGTATGGAGCAAAAGATAAATTTTATTGACTTAAATCTCAACAAAGTAATTGATGAACAAGTCAAGAAAAATAGAGAAATATTAAAACCAATAAATCAGGCAATTATTATGTGTGGAAAACAAAACATACCTCTCCGAGGTCACAGAGATGATTCATTTTACTATGAGAATGAAAATAGTAACTCTGGCAATCTTCAATCAATTTTGAAATTAATATCTGATTGTGCAGAAAACAGTTTGGTGAATGGGCGAATTTCTACTACAAAAAATGCTACATATCGCTCTAAAACTACTCAAAATGAGTTGATTAATATTTGTAATGACATAATAATTTCTAAATTGAAATGTGAAGTTAAAAAGGCTAAATTGTTTTCAATATTAGCAGATGAAGCATCTGATGTGAGGAATATGGAACAAATGCCACTTGTATGACGCTTTGTAAATGATAATTGTGAAATTTGTGAACTATTTTTTGGTTTTATTCCTTGCGACTCAGGCTTGTCTGGAGAAGCTATAGGCAGCCAAATTTTGAATAGTATTAAAGATTTGGGGTTAGAAATGAAATTTTGTGTTGGTCAAGGTTATGACGGTGCTGGTAACATGGCTGAGAACTGTTCCGGTGCTGCAGTAAGAATAAAAGCTATTTATCCAAAAGCATTATATGTTCATTGTGGATCTCATGTCCTCAATCTTTGTGTTGCAAATGCCTGTAACATACAGATAGTTAGCAATATGATGTCAAATGTTCGTGTTATATCTCAGTTCTTTAATTTTAGTCCAAAGCGTTTTGATGTTCTGAAAAAAAAAATTGAAGAAATGTTTCCAAAAGCTCATCACTCTCGTTTAATAGATGTATGTCGTACAAGATGGATTGCCAGAATTGATGGTTTAGATGTGTTTATAGAGGTACTTCCTGCTATAATTAAATGCTTTGAGCTAATAATTAATAACGATGAAAAGTCTTGGAATCATGACTCAGTGCGTGATGCAAATAGTTATTTCTTTGCTACTAGATCTTTTCAGTTTCTTGTTACTTTAGTAGTGGTGTCTCGCTGTTTGGAAGTAACAAGACCAATTACAAAACAATTTCAATCTCCAAACTTTGATGTTTTTGCATCGCATGAAAAAATAAATTTGTTACATCTTGCTTTACAGCGACTAAGATCAGACATTGAACACAGTCATGGTGCTTGGTATAGTGAGGCAGTTGTATTGGCAGCTAGTGTTGGTGTTTATGAGCACAAGCCTTGTACAATAGGAAAACAGCTTAATCGAAATAATTGTCCTAGTGAATCTATTAATGAGTATTACAAGAAAGTCATTACAATTCCTTTTCTTGACCATCTATCATCCCAGATTCAATTACGTTTTTCTAATAAAAACATTGCTGTTTATAATGGATTCTTTGCAATGCCAACTAACGTTTTAATTGTTGCTGAATGGAGAAGCAACTTTCTTCTTTTTTCAAATGAGTATGAGGATGAACTTCCGGAACCACGGTATATCATGACCGAATTGAACATGTGGGAAGATTATTGGCGTAGCGTTAAAAATTCCCTTCCTACTACTCTGACCAAACTCCTTCCTCTTATTGATAGAATAACTTTTCCTAATATATTTACCTTAATTCAAATTCTTGCAACTATTCCAGTAACAACATGCACTTGCGAAAGATCAATCTCTGTTATTCGTCGTTTAAAAACCTATCTACGTAACACAATGTCACAGAATAGATTTAATAGTCTTGCTTTAATGCACGTTCACCAAGATATCAGCATCGATGTAAATGAAGTGATTGATTGTTTTGCTAGGAAAAATCCTCGTAGAATGAAACTTGTAGATATTTTAAATTCTGATCCAATTTAAACTGTTTTATTTAATAATATAATATAAATATATTATTTACTGTTTTATATATTTTATTGAGTAATTTAAATAGTGGTCCTAGAAAGTTCTGAAAGTTCTAGAAAGTTTTTTTTGTATTTTTTAAGCATGAAATTATACTTCAAAAAATATATACAATAGAATCTTGTTAAGTCTGATTCTCAAGGGAAATAGATAAATAATCAGACTTGGCGAATGTCAGAGTTAGGGGAAGCTCTCGTTATGTATAGAAAGCTCAATAGGAGTTGAAAAGCTGACTTAGTAAAAGTTTGAGTTATCAGACATAATTATAAAGTTTTCATTATTAATAAATTAGCATTATTGATAGTTATAATTATAGTTTAATTATAATTAAAGTTAAATTATAACTGGATTTAAAAATAAGTCTGTTCTTACATTTTTATTTATATTTTTGGGGAATATCCTTGGAAAATAAATGGCTCCAGAATATCATGAAACTCAGAATATTTATTTTATTACTGTTACATAATTTTGTTTATAAACAGTGTTATATAATGTTATTAAATCTATTCACTATTATTGATGTATTTAGTGTAAGAGTTTATTATTATTGTTATTATTTTTGTTATAATTTATAAATAATTATGGTGTATAATTATATATTTTATATATCATAGTATTAATTATTTTTAATAGTGAGTTTTAATACAATTGTGTTATAATTGCAATATAATGTGCATGACACAGGTGTTTTTAGAAGTTAAACTAGATGGTTACTTGTTTTATTTTCAAGTTTCTGTTTAAAGATCATATTAGAAGCAAATTTTGAGTTCCATTGAAACTAGATTTTTATTAACAGTTTTTTTTATCAGTTCTTCATTTTGTAACTATTTTACTATTTTATTTTAGTTTTCCTACTGTTGAAATATGGTTTTAATTTAGTAAAGTTTCATGATTTGAAATTTACTTTATTGGTCATAAGCTAACAGTTTAGAAAAGGAAATTTAGCACAGTTAGGGTAAGAAATTTGTTTACTTTTAACATTTCAAAACTGGGTTTTACTTATCAATTCTTATGCTATTCCTAGTTTATGTTAAATGTCATACGAATAATAAACAAATTGTGTGTTCATTGTTTGGGGTCATGAAATTATTGTATCATTATTGATTGATTCTTTATATAACGGTCGATCACTGCCAATATATAGTTGCTGCATTACTTTGCATACAAAATATTTTTATGTACACAAAATTACTTTCGCACTGTACTCTAATAAATAGGAGGGTCGGAAATTTTTCTAAATTATAATAAACGGGGGAGAGGGGGTTTCGTAATAAGCCGAAAGGTCGGAATTTTAAAAAGCTTAAAATAGTTTTTTTGGTTGGTTATTCATATTTTCATCTATTATTGAGAGAAATATTTTTCTCAAAGTAAAAAAATAGCAAAAATATTTTATATTGTTTCAAATTAATAATCGAGGAGGGTGGGGGGGGGGGGGGATTGGGATCCTAATAAGCTCCGGGAGGTCGGAAAAAATTCCCCGCCCCGTACTTTATAAAAACCTTTTTTACAACCAACCCCTTTCATGCAACGCAAAGCGCAAGGGGGGGGGGAGGGGGTAATGAAAACACCCCCTCATCGTCGCAGCACAACACATATTTGCCAGCACCCCTCAAAAAAAAAGCTAGATCCGCCCCTGATATAATTTAACGAATAAAATGAAAAGTGTATGTCAAGCAAAATAACAACTTCAAAAAAAGTTTTTTATATTTCTAAAAAGATATTTAACAAAATACTACAAAATATATTTAACACTAGAGGCCTTTCAATGTTTCATTAGTAGTGCTAGTTTAAGTGCTGTTATGCAAAAAAAAAAAAAAAAAAAAAAAAATTTGTGTGAAAAAGTTTAATTTTTAATCAATTAAGGTATTGTTGCTATTAGTTACCGTTGCTAGTTGAAAGTATCATGCTTTTGTTTATGCAAATGACTTTCATACGACAATTAATTTTTATCACTTTTAAGTTCTTGAAAAACAAAAAGTTTGAAAAACGGTTTCGTTATTTTATTATTTATACGTTGGCAACCATACACATAGTTGTCAAATCTGTCAGTTGAATGGCCGGTTCTGCAACTTGATATGTGACCGTTTATGCGATTTCTCAAATTGTTTGTTTTTCCAGTGTGTGTTGCTTGGCCATTACTTGATAAAAATTTTAGATAATAAATTACGTTCTTGCTGTTAAACAATAAATACATAAAATGTGTTGATAATGGTTTTAACATATGGCCTAAACATCTAGATATAGAAAAATTTAAGTTGTCACTCACTGAATTAAACAAGTCAATTACCTTTACAATTGAACATGGCGTTGAATTAATTGAAGAAGAAATTATTTATAATGTAATTAATTTTTTAGACATTTCTGTCATTCTTCAAAATAACAAATATATCAAAACGTTGAACAACGTTGAAACCACACAAATTCAACGTTGATTTTTGTTTTTTATTTTGGTTAAATTCAATTAACTAAAAAATTATCTCAACTTTAATTGCAATAAAATAACACAATAAAAAGGCAATAATTTGCGCAAAGAATATTATATTTCACGTAAATTAACCAGACACAACTAAATTGCTTCAAGGGACTTTATATACAATGCAAATTGAGTAAAATGTTTTTAAAAAAAAGTTTTATTTAACAATAGTTCAAGAACAATTAGGAAAAAGTATGTTATACATCTGGTGAATCGCCATTTACGCGCCAACCACCAGCATTTAATCTGTCGAGTGCGTATTTTAATAAAGTCATTATTCCTTTTCTTATTTCGTCAACTGTAGCAGTCGCTTTAATTGACATGACGCTCTCTATAAAAAAAGGTGTTGTCTTAGTAATTTGCATAAAATGCATAACAAAGTTAAATATAAAATAGCATCAAAGGAACGAACTCTGAATTTTAAAAATATATAGTTTTACACTTGACTTACCAGTAACAACCTTACAAATGTTTGTTTCTTCAAACTTCTCTTTATTCTTACCGCCAGCCATATTAAATTTTGATTATAAAACATTGGTCAACAACCTGCATTACACATTGTTATTATTGTTATAGTTATATTAAAAATTGAAAAAAAGATTTATTTTATATCTGATTAAATTCGTCAAACTTTTAGAAATATAAGCTAAACATATTTTTATAACAAACTATAATAACTAAATTCAAAAGATTTTTTATTCAAAACTTTTTACTAACCTTTGCGTAACATTTTATGTTATTGTCTTACCTCTGATTTTAGAAAATTTGTCAACCTAAAGGGTTAAGAAAATAATTACATCACATTATTTTTATAGTACATTTATAAAGTTACAAGTAGATTAACTTAAGCAAATACATAATCGAAAAAAAAAACATTAAAAAAAAAAAGTACAAAAAGAAATGGTTTTAAATTGCAAAAAGTGATGGTTTAAAAAAACCTACCATTTTAGACATCACCCGTTCAAACTGTTACTATAATCCCTAAAGAATTAAGAAAATAATTACATTACCTTATTTTTATAGTACATTCTTAAAAACTTACAAGTAGATTAACTTAAGCAAATACATAAACCCAAAAAAACAATAAAAAAGCTGCAAAAAGTCAAAGGTTTAAAATAACCTACCTTCAGATCTCACCTAAAAATAATTTAAACTGTTATCATAATCACCAAATGACTACTGCGAATTTATTCATCAAATTTCAGGACTATTTGTCATAATATTATTTAAAATACTGGAAAGAGCTTTACTAACATCTCTTTCATTTCTACCAGTGCATATATAACTTTCTTCTGAAATTCTATTCTATATTCTAAAATAATAAAGATATAACAGAGACACAAAAGAACCAAACACTAATTAATTTCTAAAAGCATTGAAACACAAAAACAAAACACGCTATATCAAAACATCTATTTATTAAATAAACAAAATTATTGGATTTTGACAAAATATATTTCTTCTAATGCCTAAAAGATAATTACTTGCTTTCTTTTACTAATTAATAAAATTAATGCATACCAAATTAAATACCAAAAATTTCACATACCTTCCTCAGTAATGGGAGACTTTCCATTCGATGAGGAATCCTTTTTAGTAACTTTTTATTATAAGGGAAATTAATGCAGGTGTCTCTGGCAAAACAACTTTTTTCTTTTCTGTGGAAAAACACATGAGCCATCTTGGCTTTGCACTATATTAAAATCCTCTCTTTCTTCAGGAAAATCTTGCTATTGCTGATCTCAAAAACTTTAAGCTAAAAAATTAAATCAATCAATGTAAAAAAAATAATCAACACTAGAATACTAGAAGAAAAACAGCTTTTACTAAATGCTATTATGAAAATAAATGTCATAACAATGAAATAAAATGTCATAACAAACAAATAAAAGTTAATAATAAAAAAAATATTTTAAAACATTCATAAAATAAATAACATGTATTATTTAACAACAAATAAAATGTGTAAACTACTGAATCATAGCAAAAAAACATTCCAACCTTTTCTTTTTAAAATAACTTTGACAGATACCAATACCTGACAGATATCAATACCTTTGATACAGTATTGATATTTTCAGTATTGATACAGTATTGATATCTTTGACAGATATCAATACCTTGAGATACAGTATGCAGAGTATGCATAAAATTTGTTTTCTTTTTCTTTTTTTGCGTTAAAGGAGTAGGTACTTGCTTGCTATTTTGTTGGTTATTTTTGGTTGGATTATGTTTTCTCTTGCATAAGAATGGTAGTAGTTCCTATAACAAATGATATTAAAATAAAACTAGTAACACTTGAATTAAGTTTTTAACTTAAGTTTAAACCTTTTAAAATAGTTACCGTTATCTGAATCTGATTCTATCTGAGTATCACTAGTAGTGGCAAATTCAAATTTATCACATAACTCATGATCTAAGAACAATCATTCAATTTAAAACGTTTTAAATATATTATATAATAAAAAATATATCTAAAACACTAAAAACAACATATACAGAAATAGAGCATTTTAAAGAAACAAGGAAAAAAACTTAATGTTTAAAAAAAATTACATTATTTCCACAACAATTAATTTTGAGCAGTTTAAATCTGTATTAGTTAGACTGCGGTTCATACATTTGATTGAAACAGTTTATTACATTTAATGATGATAACCAACACAAAAAATTTTCAATTGTATTTTCTCTATCTATTTCTCTTTATTTTCTATCCAAACAGCTCGAATGTACATTTTGCTTGCCCTACTATACTGTTTAAACTTTCGAATCATAAATATGATTCAAGTTACAAATCAAAAATTTTCAAAAATCGAACATTTGCTTATTTTATTTTTGTTGTGGGTAGTTTAGATATTCTGCGCTTTGGCGCTATCAAAACCGCGTTACTTATCCTTAAATATCTTTTTAATCAGTCATTAAAAAGGTTAACCAGGACAAAAAGCATCAATAAAGAGATTATGCTATTGTTTTATTTATTTTATTCTGAAATATATATTATCAAAAAAAAAAATGCCTAAATTTAGACTTCAAAATGTTAATTCGAAATGTGATTCGAATTGTGAATTAAGACCTGCTTTGATTCGAGATTCAATTCGAAACAAAAAATCCCAATTCGCAGAGCCCTAGTTTTACTATAACGCTTTAAAAAGCCTTTAAAATTACTATTTTCTTTATAATAACAAAATTTATAACAATTATTTTTAAAAATAATTTGATGTAAAATTAAGATAATTTTTTAGTAACTATTTTTTTAGAAATCATTACA